TCTATTCCCCTCCCTCCCTCATTCCCTCTCGCTTTCCCTTCCTTCCCTTCTCCTCCTCCCCTCATTCTCTTCCCCTCCCTTCCTCATTCCCTCTCGCTTTCCCTTCCTCTCCCTCCCCTATTCCCTCTCGCTTTCCCTTCCTTCCCTTCCCTCATTCCCTCATTCTCTTCTCCTCCCTCCCTCATTCCCTCTCGCTTTCCCTTCCTTCCCTTCTCCTCCTCCCCTCATTCTTTTCCACTCCCTCCCTAATTCCCTCTCGCTTTCCCTCCCTTCCCTTCCCCTCCCACTCTTCCCCTCCCTCCCCCATTCCCTCTCGCTTTCCCTCCCTTCCCTTCCCCTCCCTCTCTTCCCCTCCCTCCCTCATTCCCTCTCGCTTTCCCTTCCTTCCCTTCCCTCATTCCCACAATCTGGACGCATCCTGAACGACGCACTTCCTGTGTCCACCTCTCGACGCGGAAGTGAGATATGTACTGCGGCTTTTCTTGCACCGGACGTCACCCCCGCCGCCCCTTCGTCAGCTCCCCCTCCCCTTCCTCCCCCTCTTCCTCTTCTCTTCCTCCTCCTCCTCCTCCTCCTTCTCCCCCTCTTTCTCCTCTTCCTCCCCCTCTTTCTCCTCCTCTCCCTTTTTCTCCTCCTCCCTCTCTTTCCCCTCCTCTTTCTTCTCCTCATCCTCCTTTTCCTCTTTCCCCTCTTTCTCCTCCTCCTCCTCTTCCTACCCCTCTTCCTCCTCTTTCTCCTCCTCCTCCCCCTCTTCTTCTTCCTCCTCCCCCTCTTCCTCTTCTCTTCCTCCTCCTCCTCCTCCTCTTCATCGCCCTCTTTCTCCTCCTCCTTCTCTTCCTTCTTCCCCTCTTTCTCCTCCTCTTCCTCCCCTTCTCCTCATTCTCTTCGTCACTCCCTCTCTTCTCTTCTTTGTCACTCCCTCCTTTCTCTTCGTCACTCCCTCCTCCTCATTCTGTCTTTCGGTTATCCTCTCTCTTGTTTATTCCCCTACTTCTGTCTTCTGGTTGTCTTTCGGTCACTCCCTTCTTACTGTTTTTTCTAGTTAAGCTTTACTCTGTCTCTTAGTCATCCCGCACTCCCCTCCTTCCCCTTCCCCTTCCCCTTCCCCTTGCCCTTGCCTTTCTCTGGTATTTCGTTACCTTCCTTTTCTTCCCCTCCTTCTTCCTCGTCTATCCTCTCCGTCTCTTGCTCACCCCTCCCTTTCCTTCCTCCTTCCCCCTTTCCCTCCCCCCCTCCCTCATCTGCCCCCACCAGCCACCCCCTCCTTAATTCCCCGCCTTGTCACCACCGAGTTGCTTTTCCCACAGAGTTTTTGAAACGTTTATGAAATTCTTGGCGACAGGGTTAGAGTGCATTTTCTTTTTCCTTTTTCTTAGTTTCTTTTTCGAGGGGGAACTATAGTAAATTTTCTCTTTTGGCGTATTATTTTCTCATGTTTTTTGCCTGTGTTTTGTTCTTATTTCTCTCTTTCTCTTGCTCTCTCTCTCTCTCTCTCTCTCTCTCTCTCTCTCTCTCTCTCTCTCTCTCTCTCTCTCTCTCTCTCTCTCTCTCTCTCTCTCTGTCTCTGTCTCTCTCTCTCTCTCTCTCTCTCTCTCTCTCTCTCTCTCTCTCTCTCTCTCTCTCTCTCTCTCTCTCTCTCTCTCTCTCTCTCTCTTTCCTTTTTTTATCGTCATGCGCTTTCCTTTCGTAATTCATTTTCACCACTATTTTCGTAGCTTCTTTATATCATTCTGTGTGAGACTTGTGCCTTTTTCTTATTACGATAATGATATCCTTAAGTAAATAATAATTCCTCTCTTAGCCCTCTATAATTCACATAAACAATAATTCCAAAATATTCCAGCTTTGATTAAACTTGATTCATACAATGAAAATTTCCTTTATCTATGTAATATTCTCACCAACAAACAATATAACACCGTTTTCTTTACATCGCACAAATTGTCCGTTTTCTTCATATACAAAAAAAACGGGAAAAATAAGTAAATTTTCTCGTCATCTTTGTTATACGCGTCAGCTGGTGTTCAGACTCGTTTCCGTAGTTCTTGTTCATTGCGTTAATGTCTGTGTGCGTGTGTGTGTGTGTGTGTACGTGTGTGTACGTGTGTGTGTGTCTGTGAATGTGAGTGTGTGTACGTGTGTGTGTGTGTGTGTGTGTATGTGTGTATGTGTGTGTGTGTGTGTGTGTGTGTGTGTGTGTGTGTGTGTGTGTGTGTGTGTGTGTGTGTGTGTGTGTGTGTGTGTGTGTGTGTAACTTTTAGGGATGTATACCTATTAAGAGAGTGTGTAAAAACAATAAAACCGCCGTAAATTTGCTTATTATGATGTGATAAAACAAATAAATAATCAAATTACCTTTTCACTCCGCCAACACATCACACATCATGACAGTTCCTGCGTCGCATCATCACACGGAAAACTCTTTGCAACATTGAGTATTCTTTGTTGCACACACGCACATCCTGCACACTTTGCACGTCCCTTAGCAACACACAGTATCCTTGTTGCAAATACGCTATTAAGTCTTCTTATGCCCCCCCTCCCCCTCCCCCCGCTCACATTCCCCTCCTCCCCCCTTCCTTCTTCCTCACCCCCCTTCCTCCCTCCTACTCCTTTCCTCTCCCTCACTTCTCCCTCACTCTCTCTCTCCCTACCCCCCCTTCACCCTCACTCCTCCACTGCTGAAATCTCCCTCACCCCCACTTCTCCCTCACTCTTATTCTCCCCCCCTACCTTTCTCACACTCCCTCACCCTTCCTTTATCCCCCCCCCCCTCCTTCCTCCCGCACCCAATCTTTCTTTATCCCCACTTCTCCCTCACCCCCCCCACCTTCACCTTTATTCACCCCCAACTTCCCTCACCCCCCCACCTTCACCCCAACCTTACTCGCCCCCATCCTCCCTCACCCCCCCCAACCTTCACCCCTCCTCACCCCCAACCCACTTCCCTCCCCCTCCCCTACCAACACCCCCCATCACTTAACACTTACAAAGGGAAATCCTGGACAACCGTTTATCATCGTACACATTGAAAGACGCCGTTGAATCTTGCACTTTGCAAGCTGCAGACCTTGAATTTTACGCTTTGATGCAACAGCAAAGACCCTCCAAAGGCTGTCCTCCGGTCTTGCCCTTTCCTCTTTAGATATTATCTTCTCTACCTGTTACTCTTCCTTTGTTTTTGCTTTTTTTTGTCTTTTATTCGTCTTCCTCCTCCTCCTCGTCTCCGCTTTTTTCTTTCTTTCTTTCTCTTTGTATGTCTCCTTGTCTTCTTCTTCTCTATCGTCTCTATTTTGGTCCCCTTCTCCTGGTTCATATTTCTCTTTTCCTTTTTCGTCTTCGCCTTCATCTTTGTCCTTGTCTTCGTCTGTTTCCTTCTCCTCCTATTTCTCCTTCTCGTTTTCCAGATCCTCTTTATCTTCCTCCTACTCCCTCTCCTCCTGCTCTTCATCTTTCACTTTCTCCTTTTCCTCCTCCTTCACCTCCTCCTCCTCCTCCTCCTCCACCACCACCTCTTTCTCTTCCTCCTCCTCCTCCTCCTCCTCCTCCTCCTCCTCCTCCTCCTCCTCCTCCTCCTCCTCCTCCTCCTCCTCCTCCTCCTCCTCCTCTGCAGGTAGGAAAGACAGGCAAATAGGAAGGCAATCAGCCGGTAACAAGGACAGGCAAGCAGGCAGGAAGGAAGGCAGACAGACAAGCAGGCAAGCAGGCAGGAAGGAAGGCAGACACAAGACAAATGGACGAGCAAGCAGACAGTCACACCAACAGACAAAAACATGAACATCACTATTCCTTTTTCTAGAAGTTTCGAATCACCGAGACATAAGCCATGTTTCGACACCCGACAAAATCTCCGGCAAAGGAAACTCAGCTCAATTGCGTTATAGAAAAAGGTCGATTTTTTTTCCTTCTCCGGCTGTAGGAAAATGTCCTTTGAGGGAATGCATGTTCTTCCCTTCTGCTCTGTCGATGAAGCTTGGGATTACCTCACGCTTTCGAGTCTCCGGGGATTGCGTTTGTCACAAAGAAGAATAAAAAGGCCTTTGTCTTTTTCTTTTTCTATATTTTTTTCCTTTTTTCTACTGTGTCTTTTATCGTCTCTGTTTCTCTTTTCGCCTCTGTCTGCCCCTTTCTGTGTCTTTGTTCTGTCCCTTTCTGTGTTTCTGTATCTCCGTTCTGTTCTGTTTTCTTTGTCTTATTTTATTCTTAACTTTTTCTTTCTCTCACTTCACTTTCTCTCTCTCTCTCTCTCTCTCTCTCTCTCTCTCTCTCTCTCTCTCTCTCTCTCTCTCTCTCTCTCTCTCTCTCTCTCTCACGATGCACACAAAGAGAAATTTCCCAGAAGTTCAGTACCATGAATAGTTATCATCAACGCTACATGGCACTGTTTTCCCACCCATATCATCATCATCATCATCACCATCATCACCATCACCTTATGCATCATTTTCTAATCCTCCACACTTTTTTTTCTCTTTTTCCATCCACCTCTCCGTTCTCTGTCCGTTATGAACCACTTCACGAACCAGCTAGTCTGAGAACGAAACTATGAACCCAGCTATTGAACCATCACATCAGCTGATCCATGGCCGAAGTCGTGAACAAGCTTGAGATCTGATTGAAAAGTGAAGAAAAAGAAAAAAGGAAAAAGAAAAAAAGTGAATATTAACATTGATAATGATATGAATAATATGAATAATAATGAAATAGTAATAAGATGACTATTCATTACCTACGATGATAACGGTAGCAATAAAGATAATAATAATGATAATAATGATAATAATAATAATAATAATAATGATGATAATAGAATTGATAACAATAATGATAAAGATGAGAATTATAACAATAATGGTAATGATAATGATAATGAACATGATAATCATAACAATAACAACAACAATAACAATATCAACAACAACAACAAAAACAAACACAAGCCCGCAACCATACAAACAAACCCTCCTAATCCCTCTCCCTCTCTCTCTCTCCGCCCACAG